CTCTGCTTCCCATACCCTGCTTTGGTTTTGGGGTTTTGTGTAGGGCTCCTGCCACCAGCCAGAGAGATGCTGTGCTGGTGCGGAGAGAGGTGAGGGGCAACTCTCTGCCCTCGTGCTGGCTCACACTTTTTCCTCTCTCCACTCTCAGAGCGTTTCTGCTTCCCCTCCTGAGAGGCTGCAGGAGGAGCGGACGGGGCTGAAACGGAGGTGGGAGGAGAAGGACCTTCCTGAGCATTCTGTGAGTGCAGAGCAGTGTGACCTGTGGCCATGGGAGCTGGGCCTGGGGGTGCCTGGGGAGCACTGTGCCTGCCCTGCTGCAGGGGACTGTGTCCTGTGGGCAAGAACAAGCCAAATGAAGAGCCCTGGGGAGGACCATCAGAGGTCTGGGTCTCTGCATAGTCCATGAGCAATGATGCACAGGGGACAATAGGGTCTCTCTGCTGCCTGTGTTCCTGGGGCAGGGCACAGAGCCTGGTCCAGCCTTTCCTAGTCCTGACTGAGCCCTTCTGGCTTTCCCTCTTCTTGTAGGATAGCGATGGGGACAAGAGTGACTACAACCTCGTAGTGGATGAGGTAAGCCCTGATGCTTGGAACCTTGTAGAGTATCCAGCTCAAGCTGTAGTCATCAGGTTTAGGACTCTGGTTCCCGAGCTTTGAGGTTTGTTAGGTGCCAGGTTGTTGCTGCTGGGCAGCAGTGGTCAGCCAGGACATGTGCCAGCCCTGCTCTGATGTGTTCATGCCAGCCAAGGCTGGTTCCACTCCCAGTGCTCTGGGTGGAAGGCTGTGCCAGCCAGGGCTCAGCTTTGCCAGCCACAGGTTTGTCTCTGCTTCACAGTCCCCTTCAGTCCCTCTCCTGTAGCATCCCACGTGGGGAGGCTGATAAACTGGCATGAGAGCCCCAGGGAGCTGAGCTTGCTGCTGGCAGCTCCTGTGGGTGGAGGTGGCAGGAGAAAGCAGCACATCCCAGCCCTGCCAGCCCCAGGCTGGGGTGGTCTCCTGTCCTGCTTAGCCCTCAGGCAGCCTCAACTTTAACACACCGAGCCCATGCCCATGTCTTCCTGCAGGGAATTCCAGTCTTTTGCAATGGAACTGCCTTGTGCTGCTGGTACGACCTTCCCTGACCACCGGGGCAGACACAGCGAACTTTATCCCAGCCACAGCTATTCTTGGCAGAGATGATGTTTTCAGGGACATACCTTTTCCTTTCCTGGAAGACAGCGGGGGGGAGGGACAACACACATGAGGTCTTTTTTCC